AATCAAATTAATGTTTTTTGGTAGAATAATACAGTAGATAAATATATGCGAATGCTTGTTGTGAAATCTGTGCGTGCATACCTTCAATTTAATGTCTCAATCATGAAAATCGGTTTGGGAAGAAGAGCCAAACGAACATGGAAAAGAAAACCCAAATCTAATCCCTTAAATAAATTTGACGAACATGGGGAGCAAATATTGTTTACGTATAAGCCGAGTGGGACTGTAGATACTGTAATGCCGATGCGTTATGTGAAATCTGTGCATGCATACCTTCAATTTGAGACCTCAATCATGAAAATCGGTCGGGTAGAAGAGCCAAACGAACTCGGAAAGGAATAACCAAATGTTTTTTACGAATTTCCCATATAGGGAATAAGCTATTACCGTAGGTAGTACTCATTGTAAGACCTGGATCCGGGACCGATTTTCCTTTTCGTGTAGAGGTCCCTAGAGGCCAAAAACACCATCCGTTCAAATTCATAAATATAGTTATGTGTGCCCGTTAGCACGATAACTCGATCAAAAATGTACAGATTTTTATGAAATTTTATATACGCGTGTAAACCTACGTTTATACGAACGAGTTCGCGAACCAGCATAATCGGATATGGGAAAGGGGGTTTATGGGGTAAAAATTGGGTTTTCCCATTTTTGACCCTAAAAACATACCATTTTGCAATTCATTTCCAGACTATTTTGTAGAGCGTAAAAACAAATAATTTAGTATATCGAAGCGTTATTATGCGCCTAATAGCAATAGGGCTTATACCGCCTAGTATTAAACAAAATCCCATGTTATTCTTATGGGGAATAAGTAAACTGTTGTAATTTGCTTGTTTATGAACATATTTTGGTAAATTTTGGAAAATGTATTTGTTTCTTACTAACACATTGTGACATTTTACACACAAAAACAATTTTTCATCCTTCCTGTAGCAGCAAACCTAAATACTCGTTAAACCAATGCTATTTAAATAGGGAATAAATGTGATATTTTTAAGGAGATATTTTAGAGTAAATCCAATAAGGCAAGTGAAAAATCGCTTAGTCCGCAGCCTTGCTGCGGCGGGTTATTAATATATAAGATAATTGACAAAATACGTGTAAATTGTTGTTTTTTTGTGTTTGAAACTAGATAGATGATGGTTGTGCAGTTATCAGTGTCAGTCACAGTTATGTTGAATGATGAAACGTAACACAAAAATGAAATCCAACATATTAATAATGAGAACCAACACATGACGCACAAGAACACATCAGGTGACTGTGACAGAAACCAGGATTTATTGTCCAGGCTTGTTGTGTATTTATGACTTCATTTTTTATCTTCAACTACCAAAGTAAATTAATAAACTAGTCAGTTATTTATTAGTTTATTTGTATATAGTTATTTAACTGCTCGTGTCATTCTCTTCAAGTTGATAACGGCCTCTTTACTATTTTATATCTAAATAACTTCTTGATCAGCATTGTGCGAGTTATTGAATTTACAGTAGTAAATAAAAAATACGTTTGATAACACTTAAAATACACCTTTAAGTGTTATTAGAGGTATATTTTATTTACTTTCCATTTTATATCTCCACAAAAGGGCGTAATCTAAACATCGGACCAACCAGAGAGATTTTAAGATAACAAAAAATAAGTAGATGCAACTGTTGTAATTAATTTAAAAAATGTGCTATGAAAGTCGGGGACATTTAATATTATACAAGAGTCTTCAGGAGCAAAGCTTTGTTTGCAATAAGATGTGTCATTCTAATAAGCTTGTATCCAAATTGGATAAATTATTTTATTATTTACTAGCTGAGTACCCGTCCTTCGTACGGGGTTGGTATACAATGCTTATTGTAGTTAAATACTCGTGCTTTGCATTTGCAATGAGTGAGGACACGTTTTGAGAAAATTTGGTTTACTATAATCTACGGTATACTATAGTATATAGAATATCTACCATAGCCATAATGTTCTACCACTTCACCTAAACAATAGAAAGAAGTCAAGTTCTCACACTCAGGTTTTTGTTGCTGCTTGGTTCAAATTAGCTGTTGTCATAAACCATGGTGCACCATAAACTAATGGTGCTGCACCCTATTGGTAAACCGTATAACCTTTTAATGCTATTGAATATTTTAGAAACAAATTGTGTAGTTGAAACAGCTGGCAAAATTATTTAATTCCTTTTAAATGTGAATACTCCTAAGGTTAATATGGGAAACTCTAGAGCCGCTGGGGCGGAGCCCGAAACGATTTTTGAGGTAAGAATATGTCTATATGTTAATCGGGAACGTGAGCTATCATCATACCAAATTTCAACACAATCTGACTAGTAGTTAATGCGTGATTGAACTTCAAACAAACAAACAAATAAACAAACAAACACACAAACTTTCACATTTATAATATTAGTAAGATTAAATTAATTTTTTACGGCTGCCATTTTCAACACGGTTGTCTATTTGAGGTCTGGTTTGCGGCATCGTTTTTAGTTTAACAAGACCTTTAGTTTGATGTACATATCAACCTATGCTTACCTCTAAGATTTTAAACTTAGGCCTACTACCTATGGGCTGGGCAGTCCCCCATAGGTGACATCCGATCACCATGTACACAAAAAGGTATCTTACTAGTAATGATATGGCAAATTCGGTTGTGATATCTCTTTTCGTTGTAAAGTTATAAAGTCGTTCTAAGACTTTATTGTCACCCTGTATATAGTTACCGTCTTTAGAAGTGTGTATCACGTGTTGCCTGTATTTGTTTGTAAGAGTGCGTGCATTGGTGAGTGTGCGAGTATGCGTGTGTTTTTCGTGAGTGTGCGTGTAGGCTATGCATAATTTGTAGGACCCCTCTGGCCACTGTAGACGAGGGAGGCTGTTACTGTGTTACTGTGTCAACAATCTGTTACTTATTCATATTGTCCACAGGGATCCGGCACAACACTACTAACTGAGTAGTCAGATTTTCAGTTCCTCCCCCCTCTACATTTTGGGGGTGCAAAGCTATAAAGAAATATGGAATTTTTTATTCGACCTTGTCAAGAATAGTGAGGTTAGTCTTGAGTTCTTACTTGAAATAGTACTTTTAATAAATTTTTCAACGGTTTTTAAAATATATTACTATTATTATTACGAGGTGTTAGTTTTAAATTTCAAATGCTTAAATTACACTATACGAGTGCATTATCAATAATTATAATATCAAATAAATTTTCATCTACAATAGTTTCACTTACCACATGGCCAAATATCATATGAGTTTAGGTATTAGCAACGTGAAATAAATATTTTGTTCAGGGTTCTTTAAGGACCTAGTATCTTGTTTTATATCTGGATCTTACGGATAATCAATATTTAACCAGAGATCAAAATTGCATGGAAAAAAATAGAAGTTTAGTATTAAAACTAAATGAATTAGTTTCCGTCAAAAGAACAAATTTATAATTTCGAAACAAATCATGTTCAGTATTTTAATTATTTCCTTGATTAAATTAACGATATTAAAAAATACAGAAACCCTTAAAAGATGTGTAAGTTTGTTATCACTCTAAAACAATAACTTTAAACATTTAAAATATATCCAGTGGCCCCAATATTATAGATTTTTTTAACTATTCTATAATTAAGGTACATGCAACAACGTTTAAAAAACGGAATTCTCAAAACTCGTTGAATAATTAATCGAATGAAACTCAAACTTTGGCTCTCATAATTAATTCACCATGTTTGTGAACACAAGTAACACAACCTGCAAATGTGGACTGATTAAATATTTGCAAACCTCTCTGACCTTTCGGAATTTCTTTCCGGCATTATACTCATTCGGTCGAATAAAAATAAAGTATTCATGGTTGGTAGTTGGAGATCTCATCACATGGTCAGACAAAGAAAGTTAAAAGCTAGGAGCAGAGGAATAGTTATTTGAAACATGTGTAAACATTTAATTTAAAAATTCTAAATTCCTTCTTGGTTTTAGTCATGATTATTTTATAAAACCCAAACAAACATCTCGATGAATAGGATGCACTGTTACTATAATTTCAACACTACTGATTTGTGTTAACGGGATCTATAGCCGGCCGGCACACGTACTTGTATAAATGTAATGCATTTTGTGTTAGTGTTATGTTTTTTTAATGTTTAAAAATTTTGACGAATCTGCAAGATGAATTGATAAATATATCCACGGACCTGAAGATAGAGCTTAAAAGCTCTGAGATGCGCATCGTCCGTACGTAACCTAGATAACAATATATTATATTATTAAAGTCATAGAGTTCAATTTGTGGTATAGTTCGCCACCCTAACTTGAGGCAGCCCAAGGCCGCACGCCGTATATCTATTGCGGCCTTTGGCTGCCTCAGGGTGGCGAGGACTATAGTTATTTGAGGCTATAATGGCACATCAAAATCATATGTCACCAAAATCCAGAAAGATCAAAATCTCAGAGTGTGTAGATTTGCTGAAAATCATTGGTATGACGAAATCCCCAAGGGCTCCACCCCACAGGCCGATTTCCAAAGGGCTGCACACTACATGCTTTCATTATTTAATCAATTAAATGAACAAGAACTGGTCGATGCAATTCACGGCTTTTTGTTTATACTGTATACTTGAAATGCATATTGATGGTACTTTATTTACGTTGTTGTATTTACGCTCACAAGTGTCCACTCACTCTAAAATCACAATAAGCCTAAGTATTAATAGTGAGCAAATTAACGGAATGGTAAAAACAAAGAAAGATATGTTTTAAACGCTCAGTGATTATTAATAGTTCCTTAGTAAAAAATCTATATTTGGTAGGCTACTAAAGTATTTAAAATAAAGCTAAAATTAGCTTAACAAATGAAATCAGTATAACAATATAAAACTGATATGGAACCTACACTGAACAGCTTCAAAGATCGTATCAGTGGTGTTAAAATTGAAGTTCCGCTTATCAGCTGGGCTATGGATGAAACATTTCATTCCACTGCTGCATATTGATATTTCAATTGTATTGTGCTGTGTCCTAGTTTTTTATTTAATCTATAGGATGTAAATCTTCTTGTGCTAATTAATTTCTACATTTATCTTGATGCTGAGTCGGTTGAAACCGTTGTGATGAGATAAGTGAGGTAGGTTTCACAGTAATGCAACCTTTGTTTGTGATAGTTTGTGGAGTCTTTCTGCTTCAGAATTGTGGAGTTTCAGCAATGTGGCGCATTCTGCATTCGTCTTCAAACCAAGATGAACTTGTCAAGGTTTTAAAAGGTAAAGTAAGAAAAATAATTTGTTGTAACTAAGTAGATTGATTAGTTGTATTGCAATCCTTTGTATATTAAGTTAAAAGTTAATTAATTATCGGATTTCTACTGAAAAAATTCCCTTACACATGTTGGATTTATTCCCAATAGGTTTAGTGACTACTTAGGTTGACTGCTTCAAGGAATGCCATAAAGTAAGTCATCTATATAGTTAATATAGCTTAGTATGAAATAAATAAATTTCACCAAAATATATCCATACACAAGTAAACTGCAATAGTTTGTTGATTCTCTGCACTAAAAGATATATGAGTATGGATTTTTAAGAGTTCCCTCAGTAACCATTAGCTGTACGCTGCAATATACAGTTATTTGTTTTTTGAGCTCTATAAAAGGGTTTGTACAGCTATATACAGTTACTTTCGTAACTGCTAAGTTTTATACATTGAGGGGAAAAATGGGGAACAAAATATTTTACCACATAAAACGCAATTGCGATCATGTTGGTTCGCGAACTCGTTTGAATAAAAGTGGGGGACCTAAAACCTATACTTTTGTAATTTGATAAAAATTTGCAGATTTTATTTAAGTTATCGTGCTAACGGACACACACACACACACACACACACACACACACACACACACATTTATCTTTAAATGTACGCAATGGATATAATAGACATCAAAAACGAAAAATTAGAGTGGTCCTAGATGGGAAATTCGCAAAAGACAAATAAACACAAAAAACTGTATTAAAATTGATAAAATGATATTTTCTTATAACTGCTCAAAACAGGTTGTATGTTTTGTTTTTCCAAATTATTTTAAAATGTTTTTACTCTACTTCCCGAGGCTGGTTTAGTTTGTTTTATGACTAAAAAATGGTATATTATTTGTTTTTTTGGATTAAACTAAAAAAACGTTGAAATAATAACGTGTTTGACCAATGGGATTTATTTAAACATAAGATAATAATAATCCAGATAGTTATTCTGAGAATAACGTTCAACAGAATAAGTGACAAAAACAGAGATAATTTACCGCATATATTGTATTCAAGAAGAACTGATTACTTTAAAGTATTCAATTGTTCAAGGACGTGTGAGTAGTGAATTGTTGAGTAAACTGAGTAAATTTGAGTGAATTGTAGTTGTTGGTCGAGTCGAGCTTTCAAAATATCTCAGGAGTTTCTAGCTTGTTCGAGTCGAGTATTTATATAGTGAAGTGACATGTATGATTGCTTCTAAATATAAAAATAAAGCACAGAAAGATGAAATAGGTTCTTCATGGTGTGATTATAACAATTAAAAATATATGTAACAGTTAACATTGGTTAAAAGTACAAATGTTTTATACTTATATTACAGATATTTGGCCTCACATATTCAATGCAATCTTCAATTCTAAACCTTATATAGCCTAAATTGAACTAAATAACATAACTTGTTGTAATCACCAGTATTTGACCAGTACACTGCATTCTTAAAATCCAATAGATTATATTCTATTATTTATTTAATACAACCACTGATGAAATGGAAATCTCTCAAGGAGCACTGTCTGTCTAATCAGTTGAGTGATCAGATCGTACCAAAGTAGATCTTTTACACGCTAGAGGGCAATGCAGTCAGGTCTTTTGCTTTTTAGAACCATTTAGAACGAAGCATGAATGAATAGAATGATGACCAATATGAATGAACCAAAGAGGACCAAGTTTTCTTAACAATTCTACACTTTTCATAGTTTGCACTCTGTTATTGCACATGTGGCTGAATAATATAAAGAGTTTAAAAACCAAGATGACTATGCTAAGCCTCTTATCAGATATGAAGTATAAAATCATTACGTGAGAATAGATTTTTTCAGCTATTACTTTCTACAAATATATAAATACTAGGTGAAACCCGTCGAAATCGACGGTTACTTTCAAGGCTTACGGTAATTCATCTAACTGCGATAAATTGGGTGAAATATACATATTTTGAGCATTTGGCATTGTTTAAAGATTAATAATTGTAAAAACAATAATGATATTAATTGCGGTAGTTGCCAAATTTGATTGATCATTCAATGAATAAAATATTCCCCATACCGTACGTCATCGGAGTTATTATTAGTATGTTATATGGTATCTCTTCCTTTGGAAGAACCTTTAAATAGTATTAAAATCCGAATTGGTGGATCTTTTGTAGTCAAACACTTCCGTGATTTCATCAATGTAATATTTATTTCAAAAGAAAATATTTTTTGGGAAGACATATTCTAACTTCAAAGGGAGGTATATCAGTACAGTATAAGTTTGATTTTTCCTTCGTCACGTCAGGTCAGTTCATATCGTACTTCTGTGCCAATGAATGAACCCTCTAGCATAGTTTTGAGAAATTGATTGTGGGGTTACTGTTAAAGCTGGAATTCCTTGACATGGGGGATGTCAGTTAGTTGTCTCAGCCTTATCAATAACATAAAGTTGTCAATATAATCTCTCTACGGAATGTTAGGTGTAGTGGAATACTTGAAGTGAAGTTGGCTTTTATTCTTGAACTGTTAGGGGCCTCCTAGTTCATTTGGTTTTGCGGCTTCATTGGCAACAAATAATGCAAATCACATAGCAATGGGACATTTCCAAAAAGCAAAAATACTGTAAATTGGCTGTACGTATGTATTGACGTTTACATATTGTTAATCAACGTATCTTATAAAGGATTATGTGATCTAGTTTAAGAGGAATGTGACCTTTCTGTCATGACAGTAGCTGCTTAAACAGTATTTACTCAATGGGCCATTTTTACAGGCAAAATGTCGTGTTATTTTCAATAATGTTACCAACCCAGTGCGCCAAAGTTCGTAATATAGGCAGGTGCAAATAGTTTGTCAAGATGGGTACCATTTAGGCAAGGTTTCTATGTTTGGATTTTATTAGACACGATAAGAACAGATATTTCTGCATAAATATTTGATATGTGTAGAATAATATGATAAAATGTAGGCAAAAGTGGTGAAAAAGGCAGACACCAACCCGTACAATAGATAGTTACATAAGATAGTTCATAGTACATAAGATGGTACATAAGATAGTTCATTAAGAAATAATTTTAGAATTGCTGTGATAAAAGGGTTTTCCACTGATTTCGTAATGAATCGTTATTTTTCAAAACATGACATAATAAAGAAAATCAATTTTAAAATCAGAAAATAACATTGCAAATACTTATTTGGTGGAATTCAGTAATTCCCAATAAATAAATGTGTGTTGTTTGAAATACAGGTCAAGTCAGCGGCTGTAACAGACTTCATATGAATTATTTAATGCTATTTACATACGCAATAGCCTTTAGATTGCTTCTTAAACAGTATTTTAATTAGTGTAAAGGAAAAAAATATATTTTACCTTTGAAATAATAATATTAAACTTAACTACTAAACTTAAATTTAATACTAATTTGACTACTGTCAACGACAACTGACAGCCGGCAGAGTTTGGTTATGTTACTGGCAACAGGTGTTTGTGAGGCAGTAAAGAGGTGTGTTTGATGGTTTTAAGTGGATTAGTACAATGAGTGGACTGGATAGTGATAGTGAACAAGAACTTATCAATAAGAAAACGAAGAAAGGTAAAAAGTTTGGCAGGGAACGAGATGTCTTAGCAAGAGGATTAGAGTTCAAAGTCATGAGCCAGGCGAGGACTGCAAATGTCGTTTTCACCTTTTATGTACTAATAAACAGTTTACAATAATAAGACTGTGTTGTTAAAAGAAATCACCCTCTTAAAAAAGTGACAAGTAATCAGGATTGCAAGTACTGTAAGCTTTCAGGGGAAAAACTGGCTAAAACTATGAACAAGACCGGTTTTTCCCCAGTTACATTGGTAGATTACCCATTAAATAATTTATAGTTTAAGAAATATTGTAAATATGACTTTTTTAAATTTAAATTCTCTATTATTTAACTTTCCAATAATACTGGAATTCTTTAAAAAAAAAATAAAAAAAAAATTATTTTTTGGTATTTTAGGTTTTTAAAAGTTTTAAATGGCTCTCCTAAAAAGTTTTGAAAAACTGACTTAGCCCGGTTTTCCCCTGGACCCTTCATATAAGGATTAGATATCCTAATTTTGTTTGACAATCCCATAAAAGTTTTAGGTGATAAAATCTGTAGTTATCACTGTAATATGTTTTGATTTGTAAGTGTAAGTTAATTTCTTTTTTACATTTCTTTATTGGTATATAATTTGTGTTTTCACTTATTAGAAGTAAATTTTAGATTTTTATAGCCCACAACTCTGTACATGTATTGTTTTTGTACTTGATGTTCCTGTCCTGGGAAAGAACCTTCGGTCTCTCAGGGCAGGTTAAATAAAGAATTTGTCAATTGTAATAATTCATAAACTCGTATGTTAATGTAAGGTCTCTTACAGATACGGGTAGCCTCAAAGACAGAAGGGTAGCAGATGTCATGAGACAAGTTGACCGAGGCAAATACTGCAAAGAATCTCCTTACGTGGACGGTCCCATGTCTATTGGCTACGGAGCCACCATCAGCGCTCCCCATATGGTGAGGACCTAGAAGTTGACTAGGTAACTATTTTAAGATTTATTTTTTAAATTAAATTTCCTATTTCGATTCTTCAGTCTTGTGCTCACAATGTAATATAACAGTATTCATTAGAGATACTTGGGGTTGTTATAGGAAAACGTTATGGTTGTGCTCTTAAATAGATCTTAGTATATAAGCTTACAGGTTAGTTTCATATATATTCTCCATCTACAGTATTGCAGGCAAGTTATATTGCATTTTATTGGGTTAAAGCAAATAGCGCAGGGAATTGTGTTTGTTTTTACAGGGTAAATTTACGATTCAAACGAGCTATAAAGAGTATCTCTGCCTTTAAAACATCTGCTAGGTTTTAAGAGATGTGATCTCTTAAACTTACTATCGAGTAGTAACCTAACATTAAATAGTTTGTTTTTGAGTTTCTGGCAATAAAACTAGTGATTCATACTACCATGATTATCCAATTCTGATTCTGTACTATAGCATGCCTACGCACTAGAGAAGCTGAAGGATCACCTGGTGGAGGGAGCCAGGGCCCTAGACGTCGGGGCTGGCAGTGGCTACCTGACTGTGTGTATGGCACTGATGGTGGGGGCGAGTGGTCGTGTGGTGGGGGTGGAACACATGCCAGAGCTGCTTAACAAATCTATCACCAATGTAATGCACGACAAGCCTCACTTGCTGCGAGATAGTATCATCAAACTTGTTGGTAAATGCTGTACTATAGGTAAAAGATCACCACCTGGCTCTCAACAGGTGATTTAGACGTCAAGTAGTACTAAGTATGCAAAATAGTTTTACTTGTTAGACAGTAAATAGTGTTAGGAAATAAAAGAATAGTATATTTCGTACCAAGGGCCGAAAATGAGGTCTTGCCGGCTCGAGATAGTTTTTAAGTTCGAGACGAAGTCGAGAACAGTTCGATCGAGAGCTGCAAAACCATTTCGGTCCGTGGTACGAACGCTATTTTTCACCACACTATACACTATTACCACTATTCACCACTATAATAGTGCACACTGATAGTCAACACAACTACAACTTTAAGGTTATGTGAAGAAATAATTTGAGGAATCAGCAAAAATAAAAATAAATAGTTGCTAGGCAACGGTGATGGATTTTGATTGTGTATTTAAAATGCATTCATTAAGTAAGTAAGCGGACAGCTGACTTTGCGGCCCCGGCCTGTAAACACCTGCTCGGTCCCCAAATTACGATGACAGCTGGCATGGCCAGCAAAACCTAACTTTCAGCCACCAATTAACGTATGTAATACAGCCAAAAACATCATAGTGTGGTGAAATAGTATATTTCGTACCTAGGGCCGAAAATGAGGTTTTGCAGGCTCGAGATAGTTTTTAAGTTCGAGACGAAGTCGAGAACTTAAATCGATCGAGAGCTGCAAAACCATTTCGGTCCGTGGTACGAACGCTATTTTTCACCACACTATACCCTATTACCACTATTCATCACTATAATAATGCACACTGATAGTCAACACAACTACAACTTTAAGGTTATGGTAAGAAATAATTTGAGGAATCAGCAAAAATAAAAATAAATAGTTGCTAGGCAACGGTGACAATAACACAATTCTATTGCAATGCTATGGATTTTGATTATGTATTCAAAATGCATTCATGTTTTAAGTAAGTAAGCGGACAGCTGATTTTGCGGCCCCGGGCTGTAAAAACCTGCTCGGTCCCCAAATTACGATGACAGCTGGCATGGCCAGCAAAACGTAAATTTCAGCCACCAATTAACGTATGTAATACAGCCAAAAAACATCATAGTGTGGTGAAAAAGAGTTTTTAAAGTTCTATTTTAATAAATACGTGGGGTCCTTTAAATACTTTGCAAATTACTGATGATATTAGCGTAGTAAAGGAATGGGAACATAACAATCACCTTACGTGTTTACTTAATTGAAACTTTTTATAAAACAAACTGGTTTGTATAAAGAACATAGCCTAAGTACTAATTTATGATGTCAATTGTAAAGTCAATGGGATGAATCCCTGAATAGGATCAATGGGATGCCAGTTGAATAGTTTTTTTTTTGGAAATTTATAATCTAAAAAAAATTATGTTTATCATTCTGTATAATAGCTTATTGCTTTACATCTGGGCCATACAAAAATATACATTTGATTTTACCTGTTCTAAACATTATACCCATACAAACGAGGCTTCCATTAATGTAGGCTATGCATGATTGTATTACAGGGAATATTTTCCAAACATCTGACTTTTATATACATCGCAAACATATGCTATGACGATTATATATATATATATATATATATATATATATATATAAATATTTATTATTAACCGATCAGCATTACACAGGTTACCGATTGCTATACAGGTTAGGTGTAAAATAAGAAACAAAACTTATACGTCGACTTTTATGCATTTCGTAATACGCAAACTCCTCCTAGACGACTGAATCAATCGTTTTCAAATTTTGGATGGTGATAAATACCATATCGGTGAGTGCCAACATCTATATGGCGTTAAAAATAACTCTCAGGAATCCGCCCCACTGGGTCTCAAAGTTTCAATGTAATCCTTATGGAAGCAGTATTTGAAACGTAAACAAAGACATATGATCAGCTGTTGACTTTTGAATGCAGTAGATAAAGAAATAGCTGATAGCATTACTCCACAGATATTAGAACAGAAACGGTATGGATCATAAATATAATCAAATGACGACACTAGCTTTGGGTCCTTGACGTATGAAGTGGTTAAGGAAGTAATAAAGGTGAGCAGTCTGGAGTATGGAAACTGTTTATGACGATTAGATTTAGGTATCTGCATTCCTAAAATTCTATGGGAAGGGAGGAAAACGGGTCCGCGACTTAGGAAGTGGTGAAGGAAGTACTAAAGGTGAGCAGTCTGGAGTGTGGAAATTGTTTATGGCGATTAGATTTAGGTATCTGCATTCTAAAAATTATAAGGGAAGGGAGGAAAACGGGTCCGCGACGTAGGAAGTGATGAAGGAAGTAGTCAAGGCGAGCTGTCCGGAGTGTGGGAACTGTTTATGACCATTATATTAAGGTTTGCAATCCTATGATGCTATGGGAAGGGCAGAAACAGGTCCGTGACGTAGGAAGTGGTGAAGGAAGTAGTAAAGGCGAGCAGTCCGGAGTGAGGGAACTGTTTATGACGATTAGATTAAGGTATCTGCAATCATAAAATGCTATGGGAAGGGAGGAAAACGGGTCCGCGACGTACGAAGTGATGAAGGAAGTAGTCAAGGCGAGCTGTCCGGACTGTGGGAACTGTTTATGACTATTAGATTAAGGAATCTGCAATCATAACATGTTATGGAAAGTGAGGGAAACAGGTCCGTGGCGTTGGAAGTGGCGAAGGAAGTAGTAAAGGCGAGCAGTCCGGAGTGTAGGAACTGTTTATGACGATTGGATTAAAGTATCTGCAATCATAAAATGCTATGGGAAGGGAGGTAAACAGGTCCGTGACGTAGGAAGTGGTGAAGGGACTAGTAAATGCGAGCAGTCCGGAGTGTGGAAACTGTTTATGACGATTAGATTAAGGTATCTGCAATCATAAAATGCAATGGGAAGTGAGGAAAACGGGTCCGCGACGTAGGAAGTGGTGAAGGAAAAAGTCAAGGCGAGCTGTCCGGAGTGTGGGAACTGTTTATGACTATTAGATTAAGGTATTTGCAATCCTATGATGCTATGGGAAGGGAGGGAAACAGGTCCGCTACGTAGGAAGTGGTGAAGGAAGTATTAAATGCGAGCAGTCCGGAGTGTGGGAACTGTTTATGACGATTAGATTAAGGTATCTGCAATCATAAAATGCTATGGGAAGGGAGTAAAAACGGGTCTGCGACGTAGGAAGTGATGCAGGAAGTAGTCAAGGCGAACTGTATGGATTGTGGGAACTGTTTATGACGATTAGATTAAGGTATCTGCAATCATAAAATGCTGTGGAAAGGGAGGAAAACAGGTCCACGATGTAGGAAGTGGTGAAGGAAGTAGTCAAAGCAAGCTGTTCGGAGTGTGGGAACTGTTTATGACGATTAGATTGAGGTATCTGCAATCATAAAATGCTGTGGGAAGTGAGGAAAACAGGTCTACGAAGTAGGAAGTGGTGAAGGAAGTAGTCAAGGCAAGCTGTCCGGAGTGTGGGAACTGTTTATGACCATTGGATCAAGGTATCTGCAATCCTAAAATGCTATGGGCTGGGAGGTAAACAGGTCCGTGACGTAGGAATTGGTGAAGGGAGTAGTAAATGCGAGCAGTCCGGAGTGTGGGAACTGTTTATGACGATTAGATTAAGGGATCTGCAATCCTAAAATCTATGGGAAGGGAGAGAAACGGTCCGAGACGTATGAAGTGGCGAAGGCAGTAGTCAAGGTGAGCTGTCCGGAGTGTGGGATCTGTTTATGACGATTAGATTAAGGTATCTACAATCTTAAAATTCTATGGGAAGAGAGGGAAACAGGTCCGCGACGTAAGAAGAGGTGAAGGAAGTAGTAAGGTGAGCAGTGTGGATTGTGGGAACTGGAAACAGTTCGTAGCAGTTAGATAAATGTATCTGCAATGCTAAAATGCTATGAGAAGGGATGGAAGCATCCCCACGACATAGAAAAAGGTGAAAGAAGTAGTAAAGGTTAGCAGTGCGGAGTGTGGGGAATATTTGTGGCAATTAGATTAACGTATCTAAAATACTAAATTGCTATGGAAAGTTGTGAAAACAGGTCCACGATGTAGGAAATGCTTAGATTGTAGTAAAGTATGAGCATAGTGTGAAAACCGTCTGTGGTAGTTAGATTAATGTATCTTTAATCCAAAAATGCTATGAGAAGGGAAGGAAACAAGTCTATGACGTAGGAAATGGTGATGGAAGTAGTAGGCCTAAGGCTTGCAGTGCAGAGTGTGGGAACTATCTTTGGCAATTACATTAATGTATCTGCAATCCTAAAATGCTATTGGAAGAGAGGGAAATAGGTCCACGACGTTGGGGGTGGTGAAGGAAGTAGTAAAGGTGAGCGTGTTGAGTGTGGGAATGGATTAATGTATCTGCAATGCTAAAACGCTATGGGAAGAGACTGTAGACTGTAGGTTAAAATAATTACGAAGCACGAATCGATACATATTTCGATACATGCAATCGTTTACAATAGAAATTTACAACTGAGTTGACAACAGCTGATTTTTACTCCATAGAGGATAAAAACTATTTTTACTTCCTAAAGAGTAAAAATGCTACTTTAGACCCGCAACGCATGCATTAAAAACGACTGGTATTACTGTAGTATGACCAAAACAATATAATATAAACCTTTGATGACTCCGCTCAATTTTGTGGATGCCTCTGCGAATGCCACCTAGTAACATTAACATAGGTAGAGGTCAGCTATATCCCTCAGGCACTTATTGTCACTGTTTTAGCGGGTCGGACTGTAAAGCCGCTGTCCACCAATGAAACTCAAATTAAAAAAGGGTTATAATAAAACATCTTGTGGTAATCTGGGTTTTAGAAGGTTGACTTCTGAAAAGTACGAAGAGTTATAAAATCTAATGCTGCTGGTAAATGAAAGTTTTGTAAATAATTTTGAGGTAATTTTCTTGATAAAATCTTCTATAGGTTTGATTCACAGTTCTAAATGTATTTGAACATACCAGGGACATTTTAGAATTATCCTTAAAACTTTATTTTGAAACGTTTGCAGTTGCTCTGACAACTGAAAACAGAACTACTAGACTATTGAATAATATTTTATTATTTACAACCAAGAAGCTTTGTGTGATTTTTCCATCTTGGTGAAAAGTATCGTTCACTACTCGTTAAAAGATCCATTCCGAGGCTCGACAGATATTTCCGCACTCGGCTTTACCACTATCTTGCACCGGATTGGGACACTTAGTGAATTGTTACGTAAATGCTCAAGTAGCTTCAGTTAAAAGAGACGATAAACTATGAAACAAATTAAATAATCTATTTATTTAATCTAGATAATTTTCAGAAGGAGATGGGCGGGCGGGTTACTCAAAAGAAGCTCCTTATAATGCAATTCATGTTGGTGCTGCAGCTGAGGTTATTCCTCAACAGGTAAGCCTAAGACACTGGCTCATTCTGATGTTAGTGAAATATATTAACTGTGTTATCTTCGTATTGGTAGACTCAGAGAATTTGATAACTACAGAAATGGGACATTTTTTATTCTAGTACCTTGGTACGGGTAGTATAGGTATTGTGTGTTCATTATTTGAATTTTAACTTTCTTATGTACAGCCAGAATTGGTAAATTTTTTACAGTTAACAACACCTAAATTCATCTTTTAAAATAAAATAATCTTAATTAGGACATTGAGCCATAAGCTATGGCTATACTATGAGAAGTTACTTATAAAGAAACCTACTGAAAACCCAAATAAGCTATTTCATGGATACAGATGAAATATTTAGTAATCCAAATTAAACCCTTGATCTGTTGTTTAATCCTCACGAGAAATCAATCGTTTTCTGTTTATCCGATAGCTTAGCTTACTCAAATGTAAATCCCGTATTTATTTTAGAGTTATGAAAAGGAATATTTGATATATTTTGATGCCACTTGAACCCGAAACTACAATTTACAATGCAGAGCTACAATTTTAATACTACACATGTTGTAGTATCAAAAATGTTACAAATAATGTAAATGTTTGGAGTTTATGAAAAGCTATTGAATATGGCCTTGTGTTTAACGCTATGGGAATAATTTTGACTATATAAATAAACAGTTCATTTTTGTCATTAAGAGGTTGATTATTTAATTTTATTGGTCTATGATTATACTGTAAAATGCCAACATCTTTTCATGCATTTGTATCCCGTGTACCAGCTGATAGACCAGCTGGCAGAGGGAGGCAGGATGGTGATTCCTGTGGGACCAGAGGACGTCGCTCAGGTGATGGTTATAGTGGACAAGAAAGAGGACGGAGAAGTAGTGAGGACCACGGACACCTCAGTGAGATTCGTCCCTCTCACTGACCGTGAGAAGCAGCAGGACAACTACTACTGACGGTGTTAATCACTAGTTATTCATATCACTTCGCCTTCTGGATTGAAAAACTATTTAAAATAAATAGGTTACATAACATTTTGCTGACATTTATCCTTATACTGTCCTAATTCTTGTCACTGTAGAGAAATAAATGTACATATTTCAACAGAGAATACTGTACAATATTTAATTTTAATTTTTTCAATCTCCCTGTAAACCAGTATATCAAATATAATGGGTGGCGCATAAAGAACGCATGGATTTGAGTTGAGTGGTGAGAGCAATAAGAACGTCCGTGGAGGAACAGGGCCTGGTTGTTTTGTAGGTTAGGGCGTCCAGTTTTAGTAGCAATGGTGCAATCGACCTGGCACATCGCGTTTTTGCTGTAGAAAATTTATTCAAAAATAATGAATCTGATATAACTGTTCAATGGCTTCTCCGTGCACAGTTCAATGGTTCAAAACAAAACCCGATCGCAACACAATACTTTGTTGGGTAGCTTCTTTTCGCACAACTGAATCAGTTATGAAGCAGAAGTGGTTTGGTTGTCCATGCACAGCGCGAACTCCACAAAATGTCGACAGAGTAAGGGCGTCTGTTATTCAAAGCCCTCGCCGCTACACTGTGCTTGTCTTGACGCTCCTTGCAGGGCAACCTGAAAGATGAGTTAAAATTTCATCCTTACAAAATTATGATCGTACAGAAGGTTTATGAACGTGATTACGAAAAATGGAAACTGTTTTGAGAGAATGGTTGATGTTCTTGCCACTGATGGCGTTTTGTTTATGATGTTAATGATGGAGCACAGTTTCATTTTGATAGTTATGTCAATAAGCAAAACTGGCGCTATTTGGCAGCAGAAGACCCAAAAGAATTGCATCAAAAACCACTGCATGATTTGAAACTTAACGTTTGGTGTAACTTTCGAAAGTGGGAATTCTTGGGCCTTACCGAACATTTTTGAGGACTTGCGGAACATTGAACTTTGTGCAGAAAAGCCGTTGAACAGTTTTAACAGATTTAATTACTTTTGAATAAATGTTCTACCGCAAAAATGTGAAGTACCACGGACCACTGCACCATTACTACTAAAACTGGACACCCTAACCTACAAAACAACCAGGCCCTGTCCCTCCACGGACGCTTATTGCCCTCACCACTCAACCCAAATCCATGCGTTCTTTATGCGCCACCCAGTAAAAGTGTATTGTTTTCATCCTAATTGTCGAATTTCATTTTTTTAGAACAACATCTTGATCAGCATCGTACGTGTCATTAAATTTACCTGAAAAAGATATACGTCTAATAAAACTAGTAATAATATATTTGATTTAGCCATGGCTCAGTATAGTTGATTTAGATTGTAAAAGCAATATAAAAAAAAAAAAAAACTCAAGTAATATTCACAACTTATTTTGGACTCAATTATTTAAGTTCCAGTGGAATTTAAATTTATTATGATTGAATTTCTTATCCTGGCAATCCACAACACATTACCGCTGTTTTATTTTACATTTGATAGTAAAAAGCACTCATATAGGGATACTATTTTCTCATAGCATTTTAGTATCGCAGCTATTTTAACTAGATGCCACTAACGGTTACCTACCACACTCCACACTGCTCGCCTTTACTACTTCCTTCACCACTTCCTACGTTGTGGACCAGTTTCCCTCCCTTTGCATAGCATTTAAGGATTGAAGATACATTAACCTAACTATCACAGACGGTTCCCACACTCCGGACTGCTCGCCTTTACTATTTCCTTTATATTACACCTTCTCTCGTCTTGTACCTGTTTCCCACCTTCCCATATTATTTTAGTATTGCAGATACATTAATTTAAATGCCACAAACGGTTTCCAGACTCCGCACTGCCAGCCTTTACTACTTCCTTCACCACTTCCAACGTTGTAGACCTGTTTCTCTCCCTTCTCATAGTATTTAGGTATTGCAGATACATTAATCTTACTGCCACAGACGGTTCCCACACTCCAAACTGCTAGCCTTTACATATTCCTACGTCGTCGTGGACCTATTTCCCTCCCTTCCCATAGCATTTTAGTATTTTAGATACATTAATCTAACTGCCACAGACGGTTCCCACACTCCGCACTGCTCGCCTTTACTAATTCCTTCACAACTACCTACGCGTCGTAGACCTGTTTCACTCTCTTCCCATAGCATGTAGTATTTGAAATACAATTAGCAAACTGCCACTAACCGTTCCCACACTCAGCACTTCTCGCCTTTACTACTTCCTTCACTACTTCCTACGTCGTGGACCTGTTTAAGTTGGTCATTTATGAGATGGATCCACCGACGGATTGTTTAGGATAAATATTATTTTTATAACGAAGGAGTTATTATTGACAAATATATTCATTTAATAATACAGTAGGCCTACTTATATTAGAAAAGTACTCATGTATTAGATAGTACCAGTACTCATATGATAGTAGACGTGACTGAAGTTTCTTCTAAAGGAGTATTAATTAAACAGCTGTTTGTAGGCTCTTTGGCTGGCTGATCAGTCATGCAGAGGCATTAAAGTGTTATTCATGCAGAGTGAACGTTTATGCAGACGATGCGGTGAAATCTGCATTTACAGTGCTTCATGTGTCATTCAACATATGAAGAGCAACTTATTACGTACTCTCTCACTTATGTTAATGCCAAGTGCCACAGTGATAAGAGTGTTAAGATTATTCAGTCCTACCATTGAACGGGGAATTAAACGAAAGAATATCATCAATGACTAAATACTACGTTAATTTTTGTTTTCTAAAATCGGTTGTATATGTGTAACTATATTTAATTATCAAATGGTAATACAAAATACCCTTATTTTATCTTAACATAGCTTTCAGTTCACATTTACTTAATTTAATACATTTATTATTTGTGTATTGTCACACCACTGATTAAATTAAACCAAGGAAAATATCATAAACTAAGCAGTACACAGTATTCTTTTGTTTCTAAAATCAATGAAATATCTGTTACTATGTTTACTTAATGGTAAGTGTGAAAATGTAAAGGCAATGGGCGTTGGAACTGATTAAAAGAACTGGTTTGTATATTAAGTTGTTTGTTGATATTTTTTAGAGTAGAATCAGAGATGCAATGAAACACATACTGTATTTGCTATTACATTTTTTAGTAATTGATGCTTTGATAATCATATTAGTTTTTGTCTGCTGTCTTTAATGCTAAATTATTTGTTTAGATTTTTTTATAGTACCTATAGATATAGTTTCTTTAATATTTCATAAGACTGTATTGATAAGGCACAGCAATATTTCTAAAGTTTATAACAGCTGACTTAGTTTTGCTAATGATTTATTGTGAGTGAAGAAACTGAAGATGGAAGGACTTGTGCAACTTCAAAATTGATATTTGAAATTTCAATAATAAATTAAAAGATATGTAACTAAGGGAGATGAAGGTAAATTATGTATGTCAGAGTTTTATTCGAAGATTTGGTCAGTTTTTCTCATATCAGCCTACACAAGATTTAAAATTAATCAAAATCAAAATGGTGGTATCCACTACTTACCAGATTTAAAAGCCATAACTTAAACGTTTTTATTAAGGCCATAAAAATTGAATATTGTTTCTAAAAGCGTTGGCGGATGTGTAAATATTATATGCAACAGCAACAAAAACCATTTAATTTATCTTTAAAAGAAATTTCTCAAAGGGCACTGGTAACTTACCCAGATAGTAACATAAACAAAATGCCCAAACTCGATACTACAAAAAAGTTCAGGCCAGAGCAATTTTGTGCTTGGATTGTGATCAATTCCACTTATATCCAACGGATTATTAATCTACAGAAGAAATTCATTGTGCTCTTATCGTGTCTAATAACATCCAAAGACAGAAACCTTGCCTAAAATAGTACCTATATATTGAAAGATGTTTTGCAGTGTCCTATTACGCGCCGTCGCCCACTTGGTTGGCCTTAAGTGGGAAGTTTGAAAATAACACTACACTTCGACTGTAAAACAAATTTCACAAAGAGTAATTACCATTTAAGCAGTCACTGTCATGACAGAAAGGTCGTGTTCCTTGATCCATACCGAGTTTTATGAGAATAATACACCAGATATATTTTCGTGGAAATAGTAATAAAATTACAATATTGTTTGTGATAGCTTTTATTTTACCCGACAAACTAATCACTATGTTGTTTAGTTAGGTATACCTTAAAATCTATAATTATTGACCTTTTATACTGCAACAAGCAGAAGTATATGTTTAGCATCATACTATTGTTATATCCATAGCCTCTTGTGATCTGTGTTTCATACGTGCTTTGGTGTTCGAAAAAATGTATTCTTATTTTTACTCAACTTGATCATGGATTTTTTTTTATTTATTGCGGTTAATTTACCGGTGTTTAGCTACACAGCTGCTTCAATTAAATCAACGGCAATATTTAAAAAATAAGCTGCTTGCAGTTGACTTTTGCTTCTCAAATCATTGAAAAAGTGTTAATGGCAAGCGGGTAAATTGAAGGGTCTTGAATTTTGGAACGAGCAAAGTGACACCATGTGACACTTACTTACTATTAAGATTTGCCAATTTTAACTAGTTCTTTGTAAGTTATTTGTCAATAAAATATTTACAATAATGACAATTGTGCAGTAATAATTGACAAAATGTGTATGTTTGATTAACTTAAGGTGGCAAATATTATAATTTTTTTTTTCTCTCAGTGTAAAATATACTTAATGAGATGCAGGAAAAGGCATCGCCAAAATCGAAGCATTAGGGTTATTTGTATTTTTTTTATAAGACATTTATAACAATAATCAATGATTTTGTATAGGCCTACATCAAATTACCCTAAGTTTTAGGATGCATTTTACCTAACAATTAATTGACTTCTAAAACTCTTTTTCAAAGTAAATACACTTTTTAAATGGAGGATGGAGCAAAATTTTACGGAATTTTAATGGAACCAAAATTGTCTCTCCTGTATCTTGAACCCGTTGCAAGGCACCAGTATAGTGGCTAGTCATAAATATAATGTTAACGCAAAGATGTATTTCTCAGAACTTAGAAATTAGTTTCGCAAATAGCATTTAGT